CTATCATTCTATCTATCTATCTATCTATCTATCTATCTATCTATCTATCTATCTATCTATCTATCTATCTATCTATCTATCTATCTATCTATCATTCTATCTATCTATCTATCTATCTATCTATCCATCTATCTATCTATCTATCTATCTATCTATCTATCTATCTATATATATATCTATCTATCTATCTATCTATCTATCCATCTATCTATCTATCTATCTATCTATCTATCATTCTATCTTTCTATCTATCTATCTTTCTAAATGTCTTTCTATCTATTTTCATTATCCATATCGCTTTCTATTTTAGAAATCGTTGTCAATGCCAATCGTTAGCAAGCCTTTAACGATTATTTTATATAGAAATAGCTGGACAAATTCAAAGACATCATTCAAAAACATTGAACCACGTGGAAAAAAACATCAAAATGCGTAAATTTTAATAATTTAACGAATAAGCAAGAGAAACCCCAGTTTTAAAAATAATACGTAACAAATTCTCTTTTATTATTTCCAATTTTTATGCAATTTTAAGCAGAAGTCGCCGTTATTTTAACACACAAAAAAGTTTTTTGTAAGTTAACGATTAAAAAATTAACTGTGTTTGCCTTTAGCTGACTTAACCTCCGTTAAGTTAACGGAACTTTGCCTAGCTCTAGTTTGACAACCTTTCAATTATGGCCAAGCCATGAGAAGACTAATTATTATGTCATGGAAAATCAAATCAAGTTTTTGGTGTTTTGTTATATGATTTCATCGCAAAAGTCCTTCTAACACTGTGACTCTAATTCAGTTTGGTCTCCATCAATGACCTCAGTGCAGATAAAATAAAATCAATGAAAATGGGGCACGTAGTTTTTTTGTGTTCGATTCCATACTAAACTTCCTTTTTTGACCGTAGATAACTATATAAAGGTCATTGACATCAAAATGGGATTGACCTGAGGAGGTTAAAATATATAATAAAATGAAAAAGTGACATGTTATGTATAAAATCATAGGTTTTTGTATTGTCTTCATATTTTATTTTAACTAAATCTTACCTTTATTCTTGATACAGTCGTAGTCGTATAAATCAATACAATGAAGACGACTTTAAATTCAATTTTTATTTCTACCAAGCTTTCAAACACCATAGATACACATAAACTCAGAAACAAACAGAATCTGTCAATTATCATCCTTTTTTTGTGAAATTATGATTTTATGAAAAGTTTGTTAGAAATCAAAAAAACTTTATATAGAAAAGCCGTCTTTATTGTATTGATATAAAGGTCGACCACTGTTGAATAGAGAGCTCACAGACTAACACTCTGTAAGTAAGTAAGTAAGATTTATTACAGATAAATCAAGATCATAATACATATAATAATATGATCAACATTCTCATAAGAATATAATTGAATATATCATGTGTTTTATCACAGATTAAGATAAGGTTATATCATAGGAAGTTTAATTTTAATAGGGAATAGCAACCTGTACCCATACACAGTATACTACCATGTACAGAACCGGAAATTTAAAAGAATAAGGTTCTAAAAACTCACGATTTTCCATTTTGTGGTTAATACATTTGTGTATATTTTCATTTAAAGAGACAGACCGGCTATGTGGACAAATTCTTTTGGATTCATTTGAGAAATATAAAACCTTTTAAAGATCTGTAAATTCTGAGTTTGAGCGCAAAGTTGACGTTCAAAATCGTACTTTAGGGTGGATAGGTTTTCAGAATTTTTTTAAAAATTTTAAATAACGACGACAAAAAATGTAAACAAAACTCTACAGTGAACTAATTGGTGGTTTAGGAACAGGTTGAGAAATTAAAAATTAACTCTTATCATCGAAAATAAGTAATCTTATTCAATTATTATATTATAAATAATTAAGTCTAACTACGATTTATTGACAAATTTCTTTTTAGAAATATGTTCTTAAAAATCTTATTAGTTTACTATAGAATCTTTACTATATTTTTCGTCGTCGTTATTTAATAATTTAAAAAAAACTGCTTCTGAAAACGTACCTACCCAAATTCATAATTTTGAACGTCGACTTTGCGCTCAAACTCAGGATTTACAGATGTTTAAAAAGTGTTATATCTCTTAAATGAATCCTAAAGAATTTGTCCACAACACTGCATACTCAGTTTAACTACCTTAAACATAGCCGGCCTGCCCCTTTAAATGAAAATATACAGAAATGTATATACTTACAACTTAAAGGTCGTCTTTAATCTTTGAAATAGTATGTTACATTCATTTTCAACTTACTTTTACATGTATTTTTAACTTTAAGAATATTTTTATTTTTATTAAAGGTTGTAGACGTAAGCTCACGCATATAAAAATTAATACAATATATCAGTGATCCTGTTTCCATTTAGTTTTCCTTTACACACAAGGTTGATTAAATGGAATATGCTACCTAATTTTCCTGATCATTAACTGTTGGTTACCATTTTTATTTATATAAAAAATTGTTAACACATTTGTATTGATGATGTACTAATAACTAAAAGGAAAATGGAACTCTCAGACCCAATGGAGGTTTTAACGATTTTAATCTATATTTTTTATTGTTTTATGAAATGGAATTTTTTGTTCATTATCATATCTGGCTCTTTTTCAATCTCATGGACTTTCAGGTTTACTTATCCATTTTTCCATTGGACATTTAAAAAGAAAGCAACAAAGAAAAATTGTTGACGATATAACTTAAAAAAGTTCAATGACATTGAAACAGAGCAATTGTGCAGGGTGAACATACCCATTTCACAAAATAAGTGATTTATAAGTTTATAGTAAAACTATTTGCCTTGTAACACCATCAAATACACATAAGTACTGCTATAATGTCGTCTTCTGGTTATCACTGTAAACTCTATGCTCTCTGGTTTCGTGGTAGTCTCCCTCCTTTTCTCACTTATACATGTATGATTCTTATAACATTTACAAGATTCTCCTAAACCTGGCATTTACAGAAAATGTGGATCATGCCTTCATTACCAGAGATTTTAAAATGAGGTTTTTAAATGAATGCCGCAAAGTACTTAGAAGACGACCTTTAATATGTCTATTAACTGTTATGTTTTGTTGGGAATATGTATCTTGAAATCTATATGTATCAATAAGAATTTGATTAAAATTAGTTTTCTGATTTTAAAAGACTATTCTCAACTGAAACAATCACTGAACAAGACGACATTTATAAACAAGGAACCTTCAAAAGAAAGATCTAATATACGAAATTTGGTTCCGATTTAAACAATTTAATAAGTTACACTCCTCTTGTAAATTGACGGTGTGTAGTCCATACCGGACCAGGTTGGCCCAGCTCGGATATTCAGCGTGAATTGTTGCGTGCAGTCACCCTGCTGTTCTTGTTTCATAACAAGAGTAGAATCAGTCGGGGCCCCGGGGAAACAAGTTTGCTGGCTAAATCAGAAATTTGCGGCTTTTTTTGCATGCAAAACTAATTAAATGGTTCAGAGATCTGATAATTAAAACGTCTGTTCTCATACTAATGTTATTCTTATTAATGATTAAATAATAAAATAAAATAAACATTATCAAATCAGATCGGATTAGATTCAATGAATGAAATTGAACCGAAAAAAATAATGTAATTAAATTGATGTAAATTAAAATGAAATAGTTGAAAATTAAAGAATTCAATTAAAGATATGAATTTAAAATTGCAAGGACAAAATAGGTAAATATATAAAATATATATGTAAAACGAACTTTTTCCTGTAGATATAAATACTTATAAGGCGGCCATCTTTTTGTTTAATATTTCTATTTTCTAGGTTCAACTTCTGTCTATTATCATATTTTTATATTTATATATTTTTAGGTTTATTAAAGGTGGGTAAATTTTTAAATTGATAAAAAATATTTTTAAGTTTTTGACCCTGAGCATTCATACAAAGAAAATATTGAAAAATATATAAAAGACCATTTTTCAGTCGTAGCTAAATTCTATAAAATTCTTCTAAGGGTTACGAATCTCAATTAAGCATAAAATTTCCACAAAATAGCGAAGACATGAAAATTTTAAAATTTCTTTTTGTCTATAGTTTGACTTCAGAATCTTAAAAAAAAAACAATAATTTTCGGAAAATCTTTGTTTGAACTAAATTCTTAAAAACAAGCGGGCAAATCGCAAATATAAAAATGGAAGTACTATCTATACCTGAATATAATCTGGAAAGAGATATCTGAAGAGAAAAAACATTTATTATAGTGATATCTAAAAGAGCTGTAATTTTATTCTAAAAAACAGTGTACACTGTACAGCTTTAAACAATATTTAGATAAATCACAAATTTACAGTATATAAAATAAATAAACATCACAAAAGAAACAATTAATTTTTTTGCATTTTAATTAGCTCCCACATTCTCAAATTACAATAAGTTAAACTGTTGTATCTTGTAAAAACTAACTTCAAAGGGTTGACTGAGCAAACATTTTATTTCTATAAAAGAATTGATTCGTTGCCACAAACTCATATTTTCAAATCCCTTTATCTTTGCAACATGATGGTGTAAACGTTTAATATTTCAAACTCAGGTTGTTAGATCTAACAGAATGCATTGTTTGAAATATGAAAGGTCTACGACATTGGGTTGCAAAGATAAATGAGTTAGAAAATCAGAGTTTGAGGCAAATACTAAAATCCTTTAAACTTAATCAATATAGGGGTAACAATCAAGAGTTTAAGACATAATTGAAAATAAAACTAAATTCATTACAGAAACTAGTTTTAAAATGCATGTCCGATGCACAACGGAACACTTGAAGTTCTAAAAATATCCTTTATCATCTCCACAGAATGAATCCGCAGGTCACTTTTACAAAGATATCACAAGAAGAATCAATTTTGCAATCGTTATTTTTGCTAGCTTAATTTTTCTTTACCACTTTTTTGTGCAGTATAGTCAGCCTTTATTTCAATACAAGGACTTTAAGCTTTGATTTATCATGACTTTTTACCTGCAGAGACATCTAAACAATTAATCAAAGTCGGCAGTAAATTGACAAATTCCTGTAAAACTCTAACGAAGACGACATTTAGTTGAGATGATTCCATTTAGTATCCTTCATGAGAACAATCTCGAAAAGTTCATAGTAACCGTCATTCAGTTTTCCCATGGGCATATTCACCTCATGTGATATTATTCTGATGATAGTCAACATATTTTTCATAAAGTTTGTTTAAAGGGACTGTAAGCATAATTTAAAGTAACCAGAGATCCTTGCTCAGATGGCAATGACCGTTCAACAAAGATAACCTTGAAACATTATTCTGATTGAAAATGTAGAAGATACCGTCGTCTTTTTCTAACTAAAAAAGTGTTTAATTCTATGAAATTCTCTTATTGCTTCTTATAAACAAGAAATGCGCAAGTCACTTTCGCAGAAAAACGGCATATCAAGATAAATAGTATAAAGAAAAAACATTTATATCTAATTCATGCTTCAAGGATATGGTTTTCATTGCCATCTTTGTATGAAGGATCAATCCAAATTACGTTTACCAGTTCCACTTTAAGTAAATTTTATTTGGTTTCTAAAATTAAAAAAATGTTAAAAACGAACTTTTAAAAAGAATAATTATTCCAATTTAGAAATTCTATATATTGCACTATTCCTGAAACTTAAAGCGTAAAGTTGTTGAAAAGCTGTGAGCAAAGTTTTATACCTAAACATTGATTTATCAGTCATTTAAAGGGAGTGACCGGCTATGTAATGTAGTTGAACTGCATACTCAGTTCAACTACCTTTCAGAGCCGGTCACTCCCTTTAAAGAAAAATACATTAACAAGTAATTATAATTCTCTAAGTGAAACTTTAATTTTTGATTTCATTCTGAAATTTAATAAAATATAATAAAGGACATTTTTGTTCTGTAATACTGTTTACTCATCTTAAGTTTTGTTAAAGTTTTGATCTTACATGACTGGATCTACATTATTATATAGATGTATTTCCATTGCAATTTGTTGAACATTCTTCAATGCTTCGCTCTGAAAATTATATTTTAAAACCTTTACTAATTATTTATAACACTGTTAACAGTTATTTTAGTTCGCAGTGTTATAAAGTTTTTGGACAGAAATTTTCTCTTTATCTAGAAGATTCAAGTCTTTTTAGATTTAATTTCTCGGGACAAAATATAATCTAAAAGGCGAGAACCTTCGAGATATAGAGAAAATTTAAGTCCAAAAACTTTATAGCACATGTCCTGCCAAAATAATAGTGTTATAGGTAACTTTATGAAACGTTTGTGTACTTGTCTTATATCAATGGCTGTTTCTAGATCAAATAAGCTTTAAAACAAAGCAGTAGTCAAAATATAAAGTTGATTTCAATTTCATTTTCATTTCAATTAAAAAAGATATTTTAAAAATATTCTATTTTTTTGGAGAAAATCCGGGAACCAATCAAATTGTTAAAACACACGTGCTATAATTTACAGCTAATTTAACATTATACCACGATACTTTATAGCACGTTCATTATTAAATTCACGATGAAGTGAGTAATAATGATAAAGTATACTATAGTTTCATAAAAGAAGTTAACCTTAAAGGGCTGGTGGGTTTTTCTTTACAAAATTTCTGCCAAGTGATATTAATAAGATGGATTCAGTGTTTTCTGAAAGACCTTTTAGTGAATGTCGACGTAAGAATGCTCGATTCACAATGGTACCCTTTCAACTTTTGTTTTGATTTCCTTTTTTAAACTTGTTAAATTCTGACAATTTTCAATTCTTTGTTTTGGCTGCATAAATCGACAAGTCAATTTTCTGTACAATGTTATTGTGACAGTTGGAAATTAATTTTCAGTTTAGAAAAAAACGGATATCTTTATCAATTTTGTCTGTACAATGGTTTGAATGGTAGCGTTGTGAATTGGACATGCACCTTTAAAAGTTAAATCCTGAACATTTTCTTTGGTATTTTTTATCACAGATTAAATCCGAAAATATTGGATTTTGAATTATAAAATATTTGACCTCTAACCATTGTGGCAAAGCCTGCAACTCCGCCCCCTCTACATCTAACTAAAACAATATTTATTTTCTAAAAATTTCACGGACAAAATATTTGATTACCTTTAGATAAAACACTGTAGAGTCGGTGTGATTATTCATCGCCAAAAAGTGCTCTGTTAAAAATATGATTTTTACAAAATAAAGAAATAATTTCGTTGGATAAAGTATTATTAGGTGATCCAACAGATAAATCAGCTAACCCACGAGACAAATCAGCAGATCTATTAGAGCAATCAGCTCACCAAACATACAAATCAGCAGATCCAACAGATAAATCAGCTGATCCAACTGAAAAACCAGCTGATCCAAGAGACAAATGAGCTGATCCAACAGATAAATGAGCTGATCCAAGAGATAAATGAGCTGATCCAGCAGATAAATCAGCTGATCCCAGAGACAAATAAGCTGATCCAGCAGATAAATCACCTGATCAAACATGTCATCAGTTGATCCAACAGATAAATCAGCTGATCCAACATGTCATCAGTTGATCCAAAAAATAAATTCTCTGATCAAACAGAAAAAACCAGCTGATCCTACAGATAAACCAGCTGATCTAACAGAAAAATCAACTGATCCCACAGAAAAATCAGCTGATCCAACAGAAAAATCAACTGATCCCACAGATAATTGAGCTGATCAAACATGTGATGAGTTGATCCAAAAAATAAATCAGCTGATCAAACAGAAAAACCAGCTGATACAACAGACAATCAGTTGATCCAACAGATAAATCAGCTGATCCAACAGGTAAATCAGCTGATCCAACAGGTAAATCAGCTGAACCAACAAATAAATCAGCTAATCCAACTGATAAATCATCTGAACAAACAGAAAAACCATCTGATCCAACAGACAAATCTTCTGATCCAACAGACAAATCATCTTATCCAACAGATGAATCAGCTGATCCAACAGATAAATCAGCTGATTCAACAGATAAATCAGCTGATCCAACAGATGAAGTATTTATCTATGCTTAAACTATATTTTCCTAATGTGTCCAAGATATCTGTCGTCTCTGCACCTATTCCTTTCTTTATAAAAGAAATCTGATTTCCTCTAAAAAAATACGATTAAAATATTTGTAAAAATAAAAAATAATTTATTATTTTGAATAATATATACCTAACATATTTTTGCATTTGCCTAATCTATAACAGTAAAGCTATTTTTAGCATATTTGTTAATTTTTCTACATTTGAGTGCGCTAATCAGTGTCTTCCTGATTCCTATCGTGCGTTGCATGATTTATGTCGAAAGGAGTTGAGTTTTTGCCACAAACTCTGATTTTCTAATCTCAATATCTTTGTAACCCAATGTCGTAGACCTTAGATATTTCAAACTATTAATACTTATAGATAAAATAATCAAGTTTGTAATATCAAAGGTTTGCACCATCAGGTTGCAAAAATATTGGGATCAGAAGATTTGAGTTTTTAGCAAAAACTCAATTTCTTTTATTGTATTTTTGATTCAATTAGTTTCTTGTATTTTAATACTTGTATTTTCGTGTTAATAAAGTTTATAAGAAAAAGTAAAGTTAAAGTAAAAATACTTTAAAAACTAAACAATTGCCTCAACCTCAAATTTCAAACTGCGTATTCTCTTTGATCAAACAGTTTTTGAAAAGAAGAGTCACCAGATTTCACTATACAGAGAGCAGATAATAAGTGTTTAAAACAAGTTTTCAGATTCTTCGTATACGCACAATTATCTATCGTTGACATCTCTAATAAATTAACCTTTTTGCAGGTGCACTATGTGAAAAATCATATGCATGAACCTCGCAGTTAAAAGAATCCATCAGATCCTGGGGAAAAATCATTAATCAAATTTAAACAAAATGAAATATTTAAAATAAAAACTGCAGAACTTTTTTTTCTTTTAAATTCTAACAATTCCAACTAAAGTATTCACGTGTAATTAATTTAAAATAGTTTTTAAACATATAAAACATATTTTAATTTCTATCTTAAGATATATTTCAAATGATCCTTCTTTGTTTATCAAAATAAATATAAATATGTATCTTGAGTTTCGACTAGAGATCCCACACTTATTTTAATACAGGTATCAAATTAAAATCTATAGAAAAGGATGAAAAATGACAAATTGTACAATGGGATCAATGAACTTTAAAATAAGAAGACGACATCCAAGCACCATTCTGTGTACATAATGTTGTTAAAAAGAAATTTGTTTTACGTCAGTAGTAACTTATCAAGAGAAATGGGTCTGTGTACTTTGCACAACTGCTGTGTTTCATGTTCATGGGCCTGTTTATCTCGTAACTAGAGTTTATCAGTCGTCTTCCTATCTCACAATTTTATAAACAAACAAACCCCATAAATACAGATTCTATCATATATATACAGAGTACAAAATTGAATAAAAGTATATTTTCCTCTGTAGCCACCTAGTCCTGATACGCAAAATGACCTCCAAGCCCCAAAAACCCGTCTCCGTGCAGCTCTTGCTACGCCTCCAAGCCTCCGCCATTTCGTCTCCACGCCCCTCATTTTGGTCTCCAATAAAATATATTTGTTTTTTTACAGCCACAAAAAAACTTTTTTTTAAATAATCTCAACATGATATAATAGTTTTAATGATGCACACACACAAATTGTATTAAAAAGTCTATTTTAACTGAAATTAAGACTTCTATTTTGTTTTCTAAATTTCACAAATTCCTTAATTGTGAATAATTTGGGCAGTTTTATATAAAGATAGAGAAATTTTATATTTACAGGTGTATCATATAAGAATCTATTAAGCCTACCACCAATTTACAAAACAAAATAGCTTTCATGAAATACTTGAATTTCATTTATCGTATGCTTTGTGTAAACTTTTCACAAGAAAACAAGATTTGATCAATTGAATTAATTTAATGAATCAGCTGAAATGTCGGGAACAATCATTTTACCTGGTCAACCTGTTCAACTTCTCACATAAACATGAGTTCAATACAGCGGTCCTGGCTCTATACTAGGACTCTAGGGAAGGACGGTGAATCTGTGGAGCTGAGGTTATGGTCTAGAGGAAGAATGATTTTCCATCCCCAATCCCTCGGTATCCTGCCTTAGTCCCATTCTAGGATGCCGAAGCGGAGAAGAAAAAGGAGGACAATGCAAGGGTGAGAAAAAGTAGACAAAAATTAAAAGAGAATAAAACCTGCCCTATACTTCCCAGGAAGCATCTATGGTGAGGTTAATGCAGACTCTTACGAACGTGATGGTGTCCTGGATGACTCCCACTTTCGTAGTGATGTCCCAGATGATTCCCATTTCCGTAGTGATGCCAAAGAGACTCCCACTTCCCTGGTGATGTCCCAGATGACTCCCACTTCCCTGGTGATGTCCCAGATGACTTCCACTCCCGTTGTGAAGTCTAAGGTGACTTCCCTATCTGTGGTGATGTTCCAGATGACTCCATCTTCTGTGGTGATGTTCCAGATGACTTCCACTTCCCTGGTGATGTCCCAGATGACTCCCACTTCCCTGGTGATGTCCCAGATGACTTCCACTTCCCTGGTGATGTCCCAGATGACTTCCACTCCCGTTGTGAAGTCTAAGGTGACTTCCCTATCTGTGGTGATGTTCCAGATGACTCCATCTTCTGTGGTGATGTTCCAGATGACTCCCACATCTTTTGTGATGTTCCAGATGACTCCAACTTCTGTGGTGATGTTCCAGATGACTCCCACATCTTTTGTGATGTTCCAGATGACTCCAACTTCTGTGGTGATGTTCCAGATGACTTCCGGTTTTGTGGTGATGTCCCAGATGACTCCCAGTTCCCTGGTGATGTCCGAGATAACTCCCACTTCCATGATCTAAGAGACACCCACATCCCTGGTAATGTCCCAAGAGACTACCACTTCCGTGGTGAGAGCCCAGGAGACTCCCATTTTCGTCGTGAGGTCCCAAGAGACTCCTATTTTATTGGTGGAGACGAGGTGATTCTGCGTACCAGAAGACTCCGGAGGTCATTTTGCGTTGTTCATAGCGGCTCTACACCCCCTTCCCTCATTTACCAAGTACACAATCTTCAATATGAGGAGTTATGATTGAAAAAAATTTAAGATTTGTTTAACGTGAGAAATATTGGATGGAAATAAAACTAATGCCGAACAAATCATAATTCATCAATTTTAGAATTTAAAGATTTTAGTATTATTTTTTTTTCTTCTAAGTAAATTATGCAAATATCAATATATGTATATATACACAAAGTTTTGTGTATATATATGTATATTTACACAAAGTTTTGTATAGTTAATATATTTGTTTTTGAAAAAAATGTATTGATTTAAACATCTGAACTTAAACCATAAATCATTCTAAACAATATTAAAGTCAATCAAAATGTCTTATTGGATTTTACTTCAAGAATTCAGGGAATTTATAAAGATTTAGCAAAGAAATTGGTTAAAATAAATGAGTTAAACCATATTTCTCCAGCTTAATCCATTACTTTTACGATATTAGATAAGCTTTATTTTGTGCAGTTGCATATTAAAAGCAGAAAGTCTCTTTTAAAAATCCCAAAATGGCGGGAGATAATTAATTGTAGAACACCTTATTGTACCTCAAAACTCCATTCATTATTGATGCCGAATGAATAGATCAAGCAAACGTCAGAATCACTAGTTTGAAAAAATTTAATTTTAAATCAAATAAATGTTTGAGTATTTTAAGCATTTTAAGTGAAGAAATTGTCAACGCAGTTTAAAGAGAGTAACCGGCTAGACATGGTAATTGATTTGAAAGTTTATTAGTATAGAGAACAATTTTAGGATTCATTTGATACCAATTAAACGTTTTTACGGCGAACAATTTTAAAATAAGAGAGTAAAATCGTTTGTAAAATTTGACGATGTTGGGTTGGTCAGGAGAGTTGGGTTGGTCCGGAGAGTTTGGTTGGTTAGGAGAGTTGGGTTGGTCAGGAGAGTTGGGTTGGTCAGGGGAGTTTGGTTGGTCAGGAGAGTTGGGTTGGTGGTCAGGGGAGTTGGCCGCAGGAGAGTTTGGNGGTTGGTCAGGAGAGTTGGGTTGGTCAGGAGAGTTGGGTTGGTCAGGAGAGTTTGGTTGGTCAGGAGAGTTTGGTTGGTCAGGAGAGTTGAGTTGGTCAGGAGAGTTGGGTTGGTCAGGTGAGTTGGGTTGGTCAGGAGAGTTGGCCGTTGGTCAGGAAAGTTGGGTTGGTCAGGAGAGTTGGGTTGGTCAGGAGAGTTGGGTTGGTCAGGAGAGTTGGGTTGGTCAGGAGAGTTGGGTTGGTCATGAGAATTATTGATCAGATCAAGGTTTCAAGGGTACGGTTGTGAATCTGAAACGCTGCTTTTTAACTAGAGGGTCACTTGAAATTAATACGATTTACGGTCCCTTTAAATGCCGTGCCACAATCCCTTTAAAAAATGTAGATTATATTTTCCCCTGATTTGATCCAAACAGACAAACTTATCTCCATCTACCGCCCGTCTTCTAAACAAAATATTTAAAATAGTTTAAAATCTTTGAAAACAATTTATTTCTACTTGTTCCATGTCATAAAATAAAGTTTCGGATTATATTACTGTGTCGAATATTAAAAAAGCTCATGCTTTATTTACTTTAATCAGCGTGTTTAATCAGCACGTTTGCTAGAATAAAGTTATCGTTTGTAGTTTAGGAATAGATATATGATTAACCTACACAATAATGAATCATTTGGTCCTTTTTTAATATATTTCTGCAATGAGCCGAACTGAAAGTGGCTGAAAGGCAAAGCTTTTGTACTGTTAATCTAGTAATCAAGCATTGATCTCAATCTAATGCAGATCTACGGAATAGTTAAAATCTCTCCGATATCCTTAATGGTCATAATCTTGATCCTTAAATTTAAAAATGACCACTTCGGATATCGAGATCAACCATTTAAGATTAACAATATACGCACAAAAAAAAGAGATTATGTCAAACAAACTCTGATTTTCTGATCCCTATATCTTTGCAAGCCAATGTCGTAAATCTTAGATATTTGAAATTATGAATTCTTTTAGATCAAATAATTCAAGTTTAAATTATTAATTAATCTATGATTCTTGAAATCCGTTCAAGTCAGGCCTATTATGTTACAGTTCGTTTTTAACTATTAACTTCAGTTCCCACCCCTGACCAACCAGAGTGAGATGCGTTCTGTTTCTTCTACTTTAAGTTTTGGTCTATAATTAAACAATCTTTAAACTTACTGATTTGTTTGTCTTATACTTTTCATTCAAAAAATATATACCGGCAAAAAAGTAAATAAGACAAAAGACAACAAAATCATGTTTAATGGGTCAAATTGTGATTGAAAGTCACAGCTTTCTAGAAAATTGAAAGAACCGTTAACTCCACGTGTTCCGTTATTGGGTTCAAATCTAACGATTCTTTTCGTTAATTTAACGGAATTTCACGTTAATTTTAAACGTTCCATTCATTAAATAAAAATAATAATATAATATTTAATAATAAAAAATAAAAATACTTACCCCCACCAAATTCCTCCCACTCTTTTCATATTCCTGTTAATATCAAAATAAAAAAGTATTTTTTGTTTGTTTTTGACATTGTCCCACGCTTCGATTTTGCTTTTATTGACTCCTTTTAACTTGTGTTGAATATTTCGATTGCTGTATATTTGGAAGTTACTTGTAAGTGTACTTTTGATCGTATTCATTGATTATTTAACATATATAATACTTGCAAATATTGTATAATTGATTTTGTTATAAAGTGTCAAATAGTCTGCACTGACCCAGGAGGAAACTTACAATAAAGTTTCTGACATAAATATTGAACATTTGATTTTAGATCATAAAGGACCAAACTCTTTTTTTACTAACCTACCCCAGACCTTTTCAGCATATAATCCACATTGATTGCCTGTGTTACAAGGGGTAGGTTCGGTTTGAATTTAAATTGGAGCCAGACCACCTTGATGGGCTATGGCTGACCAGAAATGTATGGTATTATGTGTATACGGCTATGGGCTATGGCTGACCAGATATGGGCTATGGCTCACCAGAAATGTATGACATTATCTATATGGCTATGAGCTATGGCTGACCAGAAATGTATTGTACTATATGTATATGGCTGACCAGAAATGTATGGTATTATATGTATATGGCAATGGGCTATAATGGCTGACCAGAAATATATGGTATTACATGTATACGGCTATGGGCTATGGCTGAGCAGAAATGTATGGCATTATATATATGGCTATGGGCTATGGCTGAGCAGAAATGTATGGCATTATATATATATATATGGCTATGGGCTATGGCTGAGCAGAAATGTATGGCATTATATATATATATATATGGCTATGGGCTATGGCTGACCAGAAATGTATGGCATTATATATATGGCTATGGGCTATGGCTGACCAGAAATGTATGGTATTATATGTTTATGGCTATGAGCAATGGCCGACCATAAATGTATGGAATTATATATATGGCTATGGGCTATGGCTGACCAGAAATGTATGGTATTATATGTACATGGCTATGGGCTATGGCTTACCAGAAATGTATGGCATTATCTATATGGCTATGGGCTATGGCTGACCAAAAATTTACGGTACTTTATGTATATGGTTATGGGCTATGGCCGACCATAAATGTATGGTATCATATGTATATGGCTATGGGCTATGGCCGACCATAAATGTATGGAATTATATATATGGCTATGGGCTATGGCTGACCAGAAATGTATGGTATTATATGTTTTTGGCTATGGGCTTTGGCCGACCATAAATGTATGGAATTATACATATGGCTATGGGCTATGGCTGACCAGAAATGTATGGTATTATATGTATATGGCTATGGGCTTTGACTGAACAGAAATGCATGGCTTCATTGTAAAGAATACATTTAAGGAGGTATAAATGAGATACCTACAGACTCCTTGAAGCGGGAACGAAACAGTTCGAAAGAAAATTTCCTTTACGTCTCCATCTATACAAATATATATTAAAAATAAGATTTTTTACACATAAACACTTAAAAATTACACATAACTTTCATAACATGAAACAAAGGATTTGCCGCAAACTCTGATTTTCTAATCCCTATCTTTACAACCTGTGATATTTCAAACTTAGATTATTTGATATGACAGAAATCAAAGTTTGAAATATCTAAGGTCTCCGATTTGGAAATTGAGTGAATACTCTCCTGAAAACTTGTTGTTTAGATTAACAAAGATAATTGAGAAAAGGATTAGAAAATTAAAGTTTAATGAGAGTTCTTTTAAATAACTATTTGCCTGGGGTATCTATAACCTCTAAGTTCATCAATGCTTCTACTCTCGGAGCATCTAAACATTAACATATTTCATCTTTATGCTTCTACTCTCGGAGCATCTAAACATCAACATAGTTCATCTTAATGCTTCTACTCTCGGAGCATTTAAACATTAACATAGTTCATATTAATGCTTCTACTCTCGGAGCATCTAAACATTAACATAGTTCATATTAATGCTTCTAATCTCGGAGCATCTAAACATAAATATATTTTATATCAAGGTTTCTACTCTCGGAGCATCTAAACATTAACATATTTCATATTTATGCTTCTACTCTCGGAGCATCTAAACACAAATATATTTCATATTAAGGCTTCTACTCTCGGAGCATCTAAACATAAACATATTTCATCTTAATGCTTCTACTCTCGAAGCATCTAAACACAAATATATTGTGCATGTTATACAATTGAGGTGTGATTCATAAAATATGTATAAAGCAATATTGATTCAGCAAATTTTATTCTTTACATATTTAGTAAATTTGGATTTGAAAAATATATTGATATATTATCATTGAAGTACACTTTGACCCCTAGAAGTATGAGTTCGCGGACTGTACAATTCTTGGTGATTTTGCGTACATAGGCTATCTATGTTTATTTATTTATCTATGCTTTTAACTCTTTAAAAAGGTGATTTAAAGAATTTTTTGATGCATAGTATTTCAAAATAATCTAAAAAAGTTCACATTTTCTGAACTGTTTGATCTTCCGCTCTTAACTTTTTACAAAGCCTTTGAATAATCTCCTTTAGGTTTTTACCATTTTCACACAATGTTAGACATCAACATTAAAATTCATGAATCAAAAAGTTTATTAATGGTTGATTGTTCACCTAATTTTCTAAATGCTGTCATTATAACGTCCTCTTTGCTGAGTTTTAGTTCAACCGTTTCTGCGAATATATTTCCTAAACTAAAACTGGAAAAAATTAATTGGAAAATGAAAAATTGCAAAATTATGATTACACTATATACACCATAGTCTTTAAAAATGTTTAATCTTATTTTACCTAAAATTGTTTATATTTAGTTGGTGAACCAAAAATATCAGGAGACACAAGAAAAGAAAACCTTTAATCAAAATATTAAATTAAAATTTTAACTCATGAATTGTCAAGAAGCTTCTGAAATATTTTAAAAAACATTAAAAAATTTATAAAATCTAATTTTTAAACCTTATTTCTAAATTTCATTATTTTTCTAACAAAAATTCTGAGTAAAAATTATATCTTTTGTGATTTTTTGAAAATCCTAAAAGAATATTGCGATATTTTTTTTATAGATTTTACTCTTCAGTATTTGCAGAAAAGTGAAATTCTAACTCTATCAATTTGTTTGATATTCACTGTGTAACAATGTAACAGTACCCGACAATACAACTTTTATTCCTCGCATTGTAATCATTACTAAACTCTGGAGACCGAGGAAGGAAGGGTATAATATACACTATACACACAGTATCCTTTATCTTGGTGAAAAGAATGATAAAAAATTGCTTTCTTTCAAAAGAAATAACGGTCGCTTAAAGGGAGTGTTCGCGAAAAATGAAAGGGGGTATAGGCTTAATGCGATAAAAAAGCGCTTTTGATCGCGGCTAATCTTACTTCTATCTATTGCGTCTATAAGGAGAAAATTGTTATCAACGACTAATACGCAACAGATAGAAGTAAGATTATTAGCGATCTAAAGCGCTTTTTTATCGCATTAAGCCTATACCACCTTTCATTTTTCACGAACACTCCCTTTTAATAACGTACTAAAAATCTGAAAATTAAAGGATTTTTAATCACTGACTTTCGGATTAAAAATCTGTAACTTGGCGAAATAACGGACTATTAATCTATAGTTTCTCTGACGAACTGTACAGTACGGAGTACGGACAATTTATCCGTTATTTCACGAAGTAAACAATTTATTATCTGGGACTTTAAACATTGTAGTTCCGAGGATTAAAAATCACTGACAAATAGTCGCTTTCTTTCTCAAGTAAACAATTTTTAATCCGTGATAAATTTATGGTTACAATACAATGCGTTCTTTTCTTGCCTCTACTAGCATTTTACGACCAAATATTCATTAAAATTTAGTTCAAATTAGTCTAGTAAGGGTTTCTCTCTCAATTTTCTCTATTTCTCTTCTCTCTGGACACTAATGCTAATAAATTGGAACCTTGTTCTACACAAGATAACAAATCAGTGATATATTTTCTTGGCGAAGTTTACGATTTTTAATTTTTAATTTTTAAGGAGAATAGAGGGAGGGATGGTACTATACAGGAGAATAGAGGGAGGGATGGTACTATACAGGAGAGTAGAGGGAGGGAGGGTACTATACAGGAGAATAAAGGGAGAGAGGGTACTATACAGGAGAATAGAGGGAGGGAGGGTACTATACAGGAGAGTAGAGGGAGGGAGGGTACTATACAGGAGAGTAGAAGGAGGGAGGGAAGGTAAAATTATGTACAAGGAGTACAGAAGGAAGGAGGACAAAATCGTAGACAAGGAGAGTAAAGGAAGAGGGGGTAAAGTTAAATTCAAAGAAAGCAGAAAGGGAGGGTTACAGTTTTCTATCTATTTATATTCATATTCAGAGGCGCAACTAGGGGGGGGTATGATTATTTCTTGCAATTTAATCTGTAATTAAACCAGGTACTTAAAAAATTCTCTTTTGCGATTCGCACACATATTCAATGAATTGGCTCATATCATTCATTTTACAGCTAAACTTTGTAAAAACACAAGAACAAAAAATCGATTTGAATTGAACACAGCCAAATCTGCATGCAACAACTTAAAATTTCCTTTTTTTCTACTTCAAACCCTTAAAAAAGCACTGTTGTTTTTGAAAAATTTTCGAAAAGGGGTGGGAAACCCCCCCCATTCCTCCCCCCAGATCATTACAAAATAATATGTTGCCCCCCCTAGCAAAAGTCCTAGTTGCGCCTCTGTTCATATTATATAATATATACATTACACATATCTCCGACAAAACTATATTTAAAATGAAAAGAAAAGAAGTTCTTTTATTCTTAGTCAGAAAACCCTCAAATTAAAAAATGCTTTATTCATGCAGCTTCTCCGTCAAACCTGAAACTTTTCTCTTAATGTTGGACATCATGATTTTTGATCCCAGGTAAGAGAACTGGTTTCTGTAAATAAAGAGTTTTCTTGAATTTATTTGAACTATTTTCTGTAAATTAATCTGAGGTTTTTTCCTTCAATTTATGCAATGATTTTTATATATTCAATGCACTGGATTTAGTAAGAAATATCGGGTGGGAAAAAACACATTTTTTACAAGACAGAAGAAATCATTATAACACCACGTGTTCTATTTCGCAAAATGTGGTTTAACTTTGTCTATGCAGTTCAACTATTTCTCGCTAATAATTAAATGTGGCACAAACAACTTTTTTGTGGCAACCAGAATGATTGATAAAATATGAAATATCTTAATTGGGAATTATTTTTTTTTATCAGTTTGGATGTCACAATCAAAGAGAATAGAATATATATTAGAGGGGAATTTACTAGAAAAAAGTGTAAAACGGCCATTTTGTTGTACTGTTTCCATACTCAGGTGTACTTCACACATTTGTGCTATATAACCTTTTGGGCCCTGGAACATCATTTTATAGAAAAGTTTTCATATTAAATTCAGTTTAAAAACGACGATTTTTACCTATTAATGTTTAATTCCCCTATAGCAAATACGCACGTTTAAAGTTATTGAACATCTTTATAAAACAAAGAAATTGGAATGGGGATATGTCCACGGACCACACTGTATTAGTGTGATGTACTGCGTATAATTTGTGAACATTTACATGAATAGTACACTTTAAGCTCCTTTTCAGACTCAAAGGGACTGAACATATTTATACCGAGAGATAGTCTTATTTCCTTTCAATTTTAATCTCTGCTCTATGCATGGAACAATATTGACCCCTGCCTTGTTTATATGCCTGTTTTGGTCTGAAGAATTTGCAAAACAGTTTCCTATTACAAAAAAGATGTAAAATTAAATTCCGTGTAATCAACATGTGATATGTTTAATATATTATGTAATATTGTTGTAAACATGTAAAAAGAAACGGAAAATATAAATATTTCTTTTAAACAAAATCAAAACTTTTGTTTTGATGAGTATTTTGGACTATTTATTGCATTGTATAAATACACTAAAGTGAATGATAATGATGATGCTAAAGCAAGAATTGCAGTACAAAACTAATTAAGTTGTTGCTCAATGAATGAATTCAAGGAAGAGGCTAATGGCAGAATAATTAGATTTATTCAAAAAGATTTCGAAAAAACTATAGTTTAATAATATAATGTGGAAGACGATGCCTGGCCGCGTTAAACAAGTTCCACAAGATTCAACAGAATGAGATAGAACGGATACGGAGCACAGTACTGATAAACATCTACACGTGTGATCTCGATATAAACTATTATTCTGAACCCTCTAGTAATAAGTTATAAGAAATATATACACTGGAAGTTATTTATGCGTTTTCATTAGAGTCTGACTCACGTCCTCTATAATGAAAGAAATGAAAGAAATGAAAGAAATGAAAGAAATGAAAGAAATGAAAGAAATGAAAGAAATGAAAGAAATGAAAGAAATGAAAGAAATGAAAACGAAAACAAACCGCACTCATCTCTAGATATATGTTTATGTGGTTCAGCACCTTCTCTCAAATTATTAATTAATTTGAGCGGCGGCTCAAATATGAGAAGCAGTTCAAACATGGTTGGTTCCACTTGAAATTGTGTTTCGAGATTACAGCCGGCGCTCAATTAAAACAGGTTTTGTCGGATCAGCGATGCAGTTTAAAATCTTTAAATTCTGCCTCTAGTCCCAGAAATCATTAGAATTATGATCAATATAATACTATTTTGATTAGGTATCCCTTCCCTGCATGTTATATTTATAATCATTTTGATTATGTTTATCTAAAACATTAGGAATCAAACATACATAATACATTTGATATGACATTTATTAAGAAATATCAAATTTGCTTCAAAATAAGAAAAAATACAAGTTTTCAAATTAATGATTTTTCAGAAATACAAATAGTTATAATAGTATATAGGAACTGATCACTTTCCAAAAATTTTAATTTTTTAACCCTTATATCTTTGTCACCTTACGGCGTAAAACTTTGATATTTCACACTTGGACCATCAGAAGTGTTGCATAAGGTTGCAGAGATATAGGGATTATCAAGTTATAGTTAGTGGCTAGTGTGCACTTTTCATTTCCTTCACCTTCCAACTTTTTCCTATGAGAGCTCATTTTCACAGAGTTGATCGGCCTGCAAGAAGCATGAAGGTTTTGAAAAACATTATAATTTTATTTAATAGTTTTATCATAAACATATATTTTGTTTTAAAATTTTTTTAGCAAACTTAAAAAATAAAGGTTTTATTACATCGCTTGAAGGGGTTAAAAGAAGAAAATGAAATTACATTGATCCACCTAATCTTGATTATTGTTTACATTGATCCACCTAATCTTGATTATTGTTTACATTTTACTGATAATAATAGTACCCTGGTGTTACACTATTTTGTAATTTAATTCCACTGATTAATTTTTAAACATTATAATCTTTGAAACATTGTTACAATTTCTTCGATATGTTTTAGAAAAAACTGTTCCCTCCGATTTAGTACATTGAAGAGAAACCAAATTACCATGACAAATTACGAACATGTGCCCCCGATTGTCTAATTTTTCAAAGGGTGATTGATGCCTCCGATGGTCTTTATTAGTATGTTCGATAACACTTTTTCCATCATACATTCTCTTTAAAACAAAGATGGCGCCTTCGATATCCAAAATTTGACAAAAATGACGCCTCCGATTTTCTCTTTAAACAAACACAATCCCTCCGACTTTGTTTCTCTTCTCCTTTTGTACAGGTGCAGCAGGAGTTGGTCTCTAAACAAAACATGATGTAACACAACTTGTATACTTTAACAAATCTAAATTTATCAATTAAGCAATTTTAAGCATGGTAATTAAAAACTTACATTTAATTATTCACATAAAATCTTAAAATGAATTAAAGAAGGGTGTCCAGAATTTTTTGAATGTTTTTAAAATCTTTATTTTTCTATCAAAGATCAATAAAAACATTAAAAATGTTGCCGGGGTTTCTAAAATTACAACTTTTAAATCAGGAAGCTGATCTACATAGCCAAATAGCACATCAAATAGCTAGGTTTTTACCTTAAACGTGCTGACTAACTAATCTTTACAGCAAGCCATTAAGCTTAAAGATTCTTACTTAAAACGTGTCAATAACTTATCTTTACAGCACGCCAGTAAGCTAGGTTGTTACCTTAAACGTGCTGACTAACTTATCTTTATAGCACGCCAGTAAGCTAGGTTCTTACTTAAAATGTGTGAATAACTTGTCTTTATAGAACGCCTGTAAGCTAGGTTCTTACTTAAAACGTGCTAAATAACTAATCTTTATAGCACGCCAGAAAGCTAGGATATTTCTAAAAACGTGCTGACTAACTTATCTTTATAGCACGCCAGTAAGCTGGGTTCTTTCTTAAAACGTGCTGACCAACGTATCTTTATAGCACGCCAGTAAGCTAGGTTCTCTCTTTAAACGCGCTGACTAACTTATCTTTATAGCACGCCAGTAAGCTAGGTTCTTTCTTTAAACGTGCTGACTAACTTATCTTTATAGCACGTCAGTAAGCTAGGTTCTTTCTTTAAACGTGCTGACTAACTTATCTTTATAGCACGCCAGTAAGTTGGGTTCTTACTTAAAACGTGATGACTAACTTATCTTTATAGCACGCCAGTAAGCTAGGTTCTTTCTTTAAACGTGCTGACTAACTTATCTTTATAGCACGTCAGTAAGCTAGGTTCTTTCTTTAAACGTGCTGACTAACTTATCTTTATAGCACGCCAGTAAGTTGGGTTCTTACTTAAAACGTGATGACTAACGTATCTTTATAGCACGCCAGTAAGCTAGGTTCTTTCTTTAAACGTGATGGCTAACTTATCTATATAGCGTGCCAGTAAGCTAGGTTCTTTCTTTAAACGTGCTGACTAACTTATCCTAGAAGCAAATGAGGAAACTTGGGTTCTAATAATAATTTGGCTGGAAATTAAGTTTTCACGATAAAAAATTTAAGTATACAAATTAGAACCAAGCTTAGCGCATTCCAGGGGCTTTATTTCACGTGACCAGTATACTGATTTGCCATTTGTGGAAGTTCTGGTCACGTGATACAGTGTGTCCTTTCATCATAAATATACAGGGTATCCTCTCTTCATAAATATACAGGGTATCCTTTCATCATAAATATACAGGGTGTCCTTTCATAATGAATATACAGGATACCCTTTCATCATAGAACCCTGTATATTTGTGTATCTGTATATTACGAAGAAAGGACACCCTGTATACTTATGATAAAAGGACACCGTGTATATTTATTATGAAAGGACACCCTGTTTATTTATGATGAAAGAACACCCTGTATATTCATGCTGAAAGGACACCCTGTTTACTTATGATGAAAGGACACCCTGTATATTCATGCTGAAAGGACACCCTGTATATTTATGATGAAAGGATACCCTGTATATTTATGATGAAAGGACACCCTGTATAATTATGATGAAAGGACACCCTGTATATTTATGATGAAAGGACACCCTGTATATTTATGATGAAAGGACACCCAGTATATTCATGATGAAAGGACACACTGCATATTTATGATGAAAGGAAACCCAGTATATTCATGATGAAAGGACACTCTGTATATCTATGATGAAAGGACACCCTGTATGTTTATGATGAAAGGACACCCTGTATATTTATGAAAGAACACCTTGCATATTTATGATGAAAGGACGCCCTGTATATTTATGATGAAAGGACACCCTGTATATTTATGATGAAAGACCACCCTGTATATTTATGATGAAATGACAGCCTGTATATTTATGATGAAAGGACACCCAGTATATTCTTGATGTAAAGACACCCTGTATATTCATGATGAAAGGACACACTGCATATTTATGATGAAAGGAAACCCAGTATATTCATGATGAAAGGACTCATGTATATCTATGACGAAAGGACACCCTGTATATTTATGATGAAAGGTCACCCAGTATATTCATGATGAAAGGACTCATGTATATCTATGACGAAAGGACACCCTATATATTTACTATGAATGGACACCCTGAATATTTATGATGAAAGGACGCCCTGTATATTCAATATGAAAGGTCACCCTATATATTTACAAGAAAGGACGCCCTGTATATTTATGATGAAAAGACACCCTGAATATTTATGATGAAAGGACGCCCTGTATATTTACAATGAAAGGACACCCTGTATATTTATGATGAAAGGACACCCTGTATACTTATGATGAAAGAACACCCTGTATATTTATGATGAAAGGACACCCAGTAAATTTATGATGAAAGGACACCCTGTATATTTATGATGAAAGGACACTTTGTGTATTCATCATGCAAGGACACCCTGTATTTTTATGATGAAAGGACACCCTGTATATTTATTATGAAAGGACGCCCTGCGTATTTATGATAAAAGGACACCCTGTATATTTATGATTAAAGGACACCCTGTATATTTATGATGAAAGGAACCCTGTTTATTTACAATGAAAGGACATCCTGTATATTTATGATGAAAGGACACCATGTAAATTTATGAAGCAAGGACACCCTGTATATTTATGATGAAAGGTCACCCTGTATATTCATGACGAAACGACACCCTGTATATTTATGATGAAAGGACTGCAGCAGGAATAGAACATCAAAGAAACCAGAAATTTAAATAACAAACTAAATTTGAAACTTCAGAAAACTTTTTATTTAAAAATTGAAAGAGCAATTGAAAATTTGGGAATAATTTAGAAGTCACCCACAAAAAGTCCATTCTTCATAATATTCCAGTTGTAAATAGAATCTAACTTTATTTTTATTCTAACTACACCTTCATTGTTTTTAGTAACTTGTTTTATTCTACCTATACCTTCAGTGTTTTCAGTAACTTGTATTATTCTACCTATACCTTCAGTGTTTTCAGTTACTTGTATTATTCTACCTGTACCTTCATTGTTTCCAGTAACTTGTATTATTCTACCTGTACCTTCATTGTTTTCAGTAACTTGTATTATTCTACCTATAACTTCAGTGTTTTCAGTAACTTGTATTATTCTAACTGTACCTTCATTGTTTTCAGTAACTTATATTATTCTACTTGTACCTTCATTGTTTTCAGTACCTTGTATTATTCTACCTATACCTTCAGTGTTTTCAGTAACTTGTATTATTCTAACTGTACCTTCATTGTTTCCAGTAACTTGTATTATTCTACCTGTACCTTCATTGTTTTCAGTAACTTGTATTATTCTACCTGTAACTTCATTGTTTTCAGTAACTGGTATTATTCTACCTGTACCTTCATTGTTTTCAGTAACTTGTATTATTCTACCTGTACCTTTATTGTTTTCAGCAACTTGTATTATTCTACCTGTACCTTCATTGTTTTCAGTAACTTGTGTTATTTTACCTGTACCTTCATTGTTTTCAGTAACTTGTATTATACTACCTGTACCTTCATTGTTTTCAGTTACTTGTGTTATTCTACCTGTACCTTCATTGTTTTCAGTAACTTGTATTATACTACCTGTACCTTCATTGGTTCAGAAGGTTTTTTGTTTTATTGTCTCTGTACCTTTATTTTTTTCAGTAGTCTTACCTTTGTTTAAAACAACTATTTTTTATTCTTCTTGTAATTATATTTGGTATGTTTTCAGTAGATTATTTTAAATTTCTCCTGGTACCTTAAAGAGCATGGCAACAAACTCGTCGTAGTTTACATGTCCATCCCCGTCCAGATCCGCCTCGTTTATCAACTCCTAGAAGAGAATGTCAACCAAAAGTGTCCTTAAAGTACAATTTAAGAAAACAGTTTCTTAAAGGGATTTCAATTAAAGGTTGTCTAATAGGGAATGTTTACCAGAGGTTTCGATAAACAGATTTTCAACCTATGATTTCTACAATAAAGAAGAATAAGATAGCGTTGTTTAACTAGAAAAAAGGCGTTATATTTGTTATTGTTTACAGGGAAGTTAAGGGAATATTACTTTACCAAGGGTTCCCAAGATTAAATCTATCTGAAAAACATCCAGAAAGCAGCAAAATTGGTCAAGGAAAACCGGGGTTAAGTAAAGTTTTTAATTTCACGAAACTTTACAATTTTATCGTCTTTTGAAATGAAAATGAGCGAATTTTTTCACAAAAAATTCACAGAACGGGGAACGAGTGGCTATTTTACTTATTAGGTATTGTTGGTCAAAATGCGGTAAAATGTATTACTAAATTATCTACATATACTATTCTTATTTTTAATTATGAAGATAATTACCATAGTTTCCTCTTTTGTCAACTTTTCCCCCAAATTCTCCATTACAGCCGTTAAGTCTTAATTAATTAATTATTCAATTAAGGGAGCGTTAATGATTTTCTGCAAGGTCTCTCTGATCAAATATTGTCTTAAAGATAATCATTTATTAATTAACATTTAAAGAATTTAGAAAAAATGAATATAAACATTTACCTGCAACGGTAATGAAACCGTTTCCTTCCTTCATAATATTCGTTCAAATTAAATATTTTAGTAATTTAAACATTAAATTAATAAATGAAAGGTAGACTCAGGGGGAACATTTGAACATATATGTTCCCACCTGAAAATATGACGAAAGAAAAATCTTTTTTTGTTTTTATAATTAAAATGATTGCACCTTTACTTTAAATAATAACATAAGATATGTCTTATTGTATTATTTAAAAAAGAAAGAAGTAATTTAGGAAATTGAATATTATCATTATTATAATGATACATGACAGTGGTTAAATAGTTTTGAATGTATTTTTCCATATTACTTTATTAGATATTATAAAGACTTATAACAGTTTATTTCGTCAAATATCTTTAACTCAATGTTTTTCTTTGAAATCAATTTTATCATAATATGACTGTCATGTGATGTTTTTATTCTTCTCTATGTTATCAAATTATGAAAGAAGACATTGAAAACTTCTGACCAATTGTCATGGGTCACCCTGTAAAATTAATTCAGTAAAAATTTGTATTTGAAACACATATGTATGGATCGAGGCTGTTTTAAGCTTACTAGTATTTCCCATGTTTTTCTTTTGAAATAATTCTTTTTCTGAATTCCCCGCCTAATTAATTCCTGTATCAACTACCAGCCTTTAGAATAAACGTATTGTTTATATTTTGGAGTTGAATGAGTTCCTTGTCGAAGACTCTGAACGCTTCACGTATCTCCTCTTCAACATCAGCATCATGAACCTCTCTGGAGATAGATAGATAGATAGATAGATAGATAGATAGATAGATAGATAGATAGATAGATAGATAGATAGATAGATAGATAGATAGATAGATAGATAGATAGATAGATAGATAGATAGATAGATAGATAGATAGATAGATAGATAGATAGATAGATAGATAGATAGATAGATAGATAGATAGATAGATAGNAGTCAGTTAAACAGGTAGACAGGTAGACAGGTAGACAGGTAGACTGAAAGAAAAGTAGACAGGTAGACAGGTAGACAGGAAGACAGGAAGACAGGTAGACAGGTAGACAGACAAGCAGACAGGTATAAAGGTAGACAAGTAGACAGGTAAACATGTAGAAAGGTAGACCACTAGACAAGAAGACAGGTATAAAGGTAGAAAAGTAGACAGGTAAACATGTAGAAAGGTAGACCACTAGACAAGTAGACAGGTAAATATGTAGAAAGGTAGACCACTAGACAAGTAGACAGGTATAAAGGTAGACAAGTTGACATGTACTATAGGTAGACTGCACTTGACAAAATTACCTTGTCATCAGCCAGAGAAATTCATTAAAGCTGATTACTCCGTTTCCATCCTGATCCACCTCACTTATCAGCTCCTAAACAGACAAAATCAACAACTAATTAAAAAACCAGCTCCTAATTAAAAAGATCAGCTCCTAATTAAAAAAATTCGCTCCTAAATCAAAGTAATAAGCTCCTAAATGAAATTAATAAGCTACTCAATCAAATTAATAAGCTTCTTAACCAAAATAATAAGCTCCTAAACCAAAATAATCAGATCCAAAACGAAAATAATCAGGTCCTAAACCAAAATAATCAACTCCAAAACGAAAATAATCAGCGCTTAAAAAAATCCTCTTCTTAAATGAAATATTCAGCTCGTAAACCAAAATAATAAGCCCCCCCCCCCCTAAACAAAAAGCAAACAAAAAACATGCTAACTTCCCTAAATATTCAGCTTCTACACTAAAAATATCGTGATATTCCTTCAGAGTTTAAGGAAATATGAATTAAAAATTCGATATTTTCTTTCAGGAAACACAAAAAACCAACAGAGAAAATTTGATTAAAGCTCCAAAAGTTGTGTCTGAGTCCCAAGCTTTAAAAGTTTTGTAGGATTCTCAATTTCTAAAATTTTAATTTTAAAAGTTGCGTAGGATTCTTAAATTCTAAAAGTTGTGTAGGATTATTGAATTCTACAAGTTTTGTAGGATTCTTGAATTCTAAAAGATATGTAGGATTCTTGATATTTAAAAGTTATGTAGGATTCTTGAATTCTAAAAGTTGTGTAGGATTCTTGAATTCTAAAAGTTGTGTAGGATTCTTGAATTCTAAAAGTTGTGTAGGATTCTTGAATTCTAAAAGTTGTGTAGGATTCTTGAATTCTAAAAGTTGTGTAGGATTCTTGAATTCTAAAAGTTGTGTAGGATTCTTGAATTCTAAAAGTTGTTTAGGATTCTTGAATTCTAAAAGTTGTGGAGGATTCTTGATATCTAAAAGTTGTGTAGGATTCTTGAATTCTAAAAGTTGTGTAGGATTCTTGAGTTCTAAAAGTTGTGAAGGATTCTTGAATTACCTGAACCTCTAGCTCTGTAGGGTTCCATCCAAACGTTCTCATCACCTGCATCCAAAACATTTTTTTTTTAAAAGCTGTTTGAACTTTTGTTTGCTTTGATGTATTTGATTTTTTTTGCCAAATTGATTTAGGTTGTTTAGAGATTTGATATTTTGCAATCACAAGACTGTTTGATTAAAATGCATATTTAATCATTTAATTCTTAGCTTAACTGATTATTTTTCTATTTTAATGATTTTTTAACTTGTTTTTGATCATTATATATTTATTCTGTTATTCTTATTTGCTAATTTGTGTGTACTGTTATCTCTGAATATCTAAAATATTAGTAGAATTTAAAGTAAAAGTAATCTAAAAAATGGTCTCAAAAAGGAATAATCTTTTGTTAATAATATTGTTAATTAATTTTAAATAGTATTGTTTCCTGTCCAAGTTCTGCTGAAGTTATATCACCACCCCCATCTCTAAAGATATTTGTATTAAACTGAGTCCGAGTTTAAAGAGTTAACCCGCGTCACTGAACCACTACAAACTGGTTCCAATTGAGCACCGGCTCAAAATTGAGACGCAGCTCAAATTTTTCAAATTCGGCCTTTAATAGCTATGGTTATATTTTCTATTTTTAGTTGAACACAAGTCTGGACATTTACTCACTCCTCTTTCTTGTAAAAGCTTCAAACTAGTTCCTTGTCTGCAAACGAAATTTCAAGTGACCCTCCACTGAATTTCAAGTGACCCTCCACTGAATTTCAAGTGACCCTTCCCTGAATTTCAAGTGACCCTCCACTGAATTTCAAGTGACCCTCCACTGAATTTCAAGTGGCCTTTAGCTGGAATAGCATGACCTATCACATTCATAACGATACGCTTTAAAGCTTTGTCTGTTTAAGTATCAATTAGATATTATTGATGGTTCGTCTACAAAAGTGACTGGCTTCAGAAACAATGAAAAAATTATCAGAATTAACCAATTTCAAGCTAGAAATTAAAATCAAGATTAAGGTTTCAAGGGTACCGTAGTGAATCGGGTATGCTCCGTTTTTCGTTTGCTTTTTTAATGGAGGGTCATTTCAAATTACACGAGATGAAAAATCTCTATATCTCGAGTCGTGTCCGAATATTCATCCATTTACAAATAAAGGTTTTATCCTGTTAATCAAACTTTGCACGCTCCTTTTGAAACTAGAAGAAACAATCAAGTTGTAAATCTAGAATTTGTCCAGAGCTACAATAAAGTGAGTTGGTAAGACCTAAAGCCGAGGCAATTCATGCACTTTAAAGTCAGGACGATTTTAAAGTATGATGCAGAACTTTCCTATTTTTGGATCTCTAAAGGGATGATATTGTTTCTCAAGAAGCATGACAGGAGAAGGCGACTTGATGGTATTCTTGGGATATTTTAAATAATTTACATTCGTAAACAAAATTTAAAAAGTAAAATTTTAAAGTAATGATATTCTTGGAATTTCCAAAATATGGTCTGCCTTTCTTGTGCTTTCAACATTATTGGATCGAGATATTAAAAATTTTATTCAGATTTTGACAATTTTTATTGTTTTTGATTTTAATACAATTGAATTCTGTACAAAATCCTTAATATCTACGGTAATATTGAAAGCACAAAAAAGGCAGACCACATTTTAAAAATCCGAGGAATACGAGAACTTTGTGGTGGGAGTGAGTATGCAGTGTTGTGGAAAACTTCTTTCTGATTCATTTGAGACATATTACACTTTTTTAAAGATCTGTAAATCCTGAGTTTGAGAGCAAATTCGACGTTCAAAACTCCTACTTTTGAGAAATATGTTCCTAACCATCTAATTAGATTACTGTATATTTTTTACTTTATTTTTCGTCGTCGTTATTTAATAATTAAAAAAACTAATTCTGAAAACGTATCCACCCCCAAAGTAGGAGTTTTGAACGTCGAATTTACGCTCAAACTCAAGATTTACAGATCTTTACAAAGTTTAATATGTCTCAAATGAATCCGAAAGAAGTTTTCCACAACACTCAGGTCAATACTTAGGTCAACTACAGGGTGTCCCAGAAAACATGGTAATTCAGTGACGAATTGTATATCGTCTTTTCTATGAATTAACATTGTAATACCAAATTACAAAGCCATAATATTATTATGTCTGCTAGAGTTTATTTTATGAAAAGGGTAAAAGACTGTAAAGAATTCAAAGAATTTTTTGAAAAGACGATATCTAATTTGTCACTGAATTTCCATGCTTTTTGGGACACCCTGTACCTTACAAAGCCGGTCACTCCCTTTAAAAGACTTATACACATTCAGTCGGCAACCTTATTTCACATAAGGTTGCCGACTGAAAATCTCAAACAAATTGAAAGATAGAAGACGACTTTCAAATCGTCTTGCTTCTGTTATGTTTCGTGGGACACCCTGTACCTGTCGAAGAATGAAAATATCTCCTTGAACTCATCCAGTTTATCCTGACTCATCCCATCCATTATCTTTAAATATCACAAACATCAAGTTTATCCTGACTCATCCCATCCATTATCTTTAAATATCACAAACATCTGGACATTTACCAGGGAGTAAGGAATAAAAGGGAGATATAACTGACGCGGTTCGCCCTACCATATGATTATGCATGCTTTGCAGACGGTACTTCATTTGTATAAGAAATATTTGGATGTACAATTACCGCGTATACAATAACCTATTCTGAATATTTCTTATACAAATGGAGTACCTTCTGCAAAGCATGTATAATCATATGGTAGGGCGAACCGCGTCAGTTGTATCTCCCTTTTATTCCTTACTCCCTGACATTTACCCCGCTAGACATTTTAAAAGAGAAATTAAATTAAATAACTCTTTCTTTTCCGACTGTTTATTTCAAGATAGTTGACGATATTTTCCGACTGTTTATTTCAAGATAGTTGACGATATTTTCCGACTGTTTATTTCAAGATAGTTGACGATATTTCTGCTCGAAACCTTTAAAGGGAGTGGCTGGCTTATAGAGACGTGGTAATTGAGATTAGAATACAGTGTTTTAGAGACCAATGAGACGTATTTACGCTCTTATTTAAAATTTATACATCGTAAAAGCATCTGATTTGTATCATATCTATAATACTGCATTCTTAGCTCTGCTAACATGTCACATCTCCCTTTAGAATTTATTTGAGATTTTTTTAGAAATTAAACTTAAATTTTATTTTCCCCACAGTTCTAAATATTTTATAAAATATCAAAAATAAATTATAGTTTGATACTTTTTTGTCAATAAAAGATTTTAGATAAATTTTTTTTTTTATTCTCATAATTTTACGTAGTTTTCAGTTGTTTCACTCGGAATTAAATTCATTTGAAAACTGGTTATTTTAAAGTGAGGAAATAGGAAAATTCATAGAAGTAAACTATATATTCTAAAAAGCATGTATTTCAATTACAATGCAAAAGAAAACGAACAAATAATGTTTTTTTTTGCTCGTTTTTCCATTTTTTCTTGGGGTAACTTTCGCATAGTTCCACAAAAGCAAACTTTTACAGAATAATAGTTTTGAAATGTTAGAACCTTAACAAATTTGCGTGGTTCCTTTTTTAGAATAATACATAAAATGAATAAAAATTAATAAATATAAGGGTTGGATTAACAAATCAAGCTATTAAGACAGCCACACAAAAATTATGATGGAAACGGGCAGCGCAGGCTACTTCTTATAGTATTATTTTAAATCGAATATTAACCTTATAAAGGGGGATGTTTAATCAAACTCCGTAATTATCAACAATAATAATAATATAATATTGTAAATATAATAATTTTACCAATTTACCAATAATTCTAATTTCCTCGTAATCATCAATAATTATTTTATATAGATAAAAATCGATAAATCTCTTCTAACAAATACACATATCTTAATCTATATATAAATTTGGCTTGTCTATCTGTTTGTTTGTTTGTATCCAATAAACGTCAAAACGGCTGAACCGATCGGGCCCAAATTTTTTGTGGGACATCACGTGACCACAGGGAAGGTTTATGAATGATCAAAATTTCAAATATTTGTCTCCATTAAAATTCGATCTTTATTAAATTTTTGAAAATTTTGAAAATCCACGCAATTTTTTGTGAAAATCCGCGAAATATTTTTGTTTTGTTTTACGATGTACACAAAGAGAACATGTTCACAATTAATTTAGAAGATGGGCGCGAAGCGCCCTCTAAGGCTAGTATACTTAAATTCTACCTTTGGCAGTTCTTTAATAAACGTGATACTGCAAGAAATAAAACTTGTTTTTTCATCAGGAATTTTTGAATGAAATGTCTTGAATTACATTATTTGTCTCCATCTCTTAGTTTGAGAAATTTAGATACAGTGATGAGTTCTATAAATTGGAGCAGAAAATTAATATCAGATCAATATTTAACTGAATTCAGTCTAATAAAGCCCGAAGATACAACGAAAACCAGAAAATAGTTGAATTCTCATTGTTATGAAATATATGGCTTAGGATTTATTTATCTTCAGCTGCGACTATTAAAAAAAAAGTTCTGATATTTTTTAGAAACATATCAGTTGAAAAATGTCGGATTGCTACCAAATTTTAAATCGTGCCAAAGACAGAGTTCCAGTTCGCTGTAAAGTATCTAAATCCAAATTGAAAATACAAGCTACAAACTTTATTTTAAATCTAATTTTCTTAATCCTTACAATTGTATTATTGTAAACCATAAGCTCCAAACCTTACCCCATTGTAATGTCGTCTTTGACCAAATTATTCTCTGCTGTCCAAACCCAACGTTTTCTCCGGGATTGCCGGCAAATAAAACAACTCGAAAAGTGAGACACGTGTTTAATACAGTAAATGCTTAAAATCCGTAATTTCGTAGTAAAACAACAAAGTTTTGTAACCAAACGGATATTTATTTCAGAAGTTTAAATGCATAGAGAATAGAATATATATTAGCGGGGAATTTAAAAAATCTCTCGGTCTAAATTTTTTCAGTCCCTTTCAGCCTGAAAGGGAGTTCAAAGTGTACAAATCATGTTAATGTTTACAAATTATATGCAGTAGAGTACATTAATACAGTATGTTCCCTAGACTATTCATTTCAATTTCGAATTTTTTAAACTGTTAAATAAACTTTATAATGAATTAGGTGAATAAAAAACATAATTTGATTTATAGTTATAACGGAAAATCATCGTTTGTGAAGTGGAAGGCATAGAGTCTATACGAAATGATCATTGGTAAATTATGAAACCAGCCTATTTCATAATTTGGTTTTCTTTAAAATGATATTCCAGGGCCCAAAAGGTTATATAGCATAAATATGTGAAGTACACCTGCAGTATGGAAACAGTACAACAAAATGGCCGTTTTACACTTTTTTCTTGTAAATTCCTCTCTAATATATATTCTATTCTCTATGGTTAAATGTTGTTTTATTCTTAGTATCCAGATTTACCCCAATATCCGCAATTTGTAGGCATATTTATAATATAAAACACTGTTAACATTTTGATATTCAATCGATCCATATCAATGCATTTTTGTTAACCGTACTTATTTACAAGATTGAAAACTACGTTTATTCTCTATTATGGATTTGTGGTGAATTTGAGAAGACCTCTTGGAAACTTGAAAACTTGAAAACTTGAAATCTTGGAAACTTGGAAACTTGAAAACTTGAAAACTTAGAAACTTGAAAACTTGAAAACTTGAAAACTTAGAAACTTGAAAACTTGAAAACTTGAAAACTTGAAAACTTGAAAACTTGGAAACTTGAAAACTTGAAAACTTGAAAACTTGAAAACTTGAAAACTTGAAAACTTGAAAACTTGAAAACTTGAAAACTTGAAAACTTGAAAACTTGAAAACTTGAAAACTTGAAAACTTGAAAACTTGAAAACTTGAAAACTTGAAAACTTGAAAACTTGAAAACTTGAAAACTTGAAAACTTGAAAACNCCCCCCCCCTTCTTTAACTCAACAGTTATTTACTTACGTTTTTAAGATCTATTTCCTCTGGTACAAAATCGGCCATATTCAAGACCTCTGAAAACAAGAATAAACCGTCAATATACTTCCAAATTCAGACATTAAACACAATTCAAATCAAGAATTTGAAGTTTGTGTATTATATGAATTTTATTTATATCCATAATCGACATTCATCAGTGTGATACATCATGTACATATATACAAAATGTTTTTGTATAAAATGTTTTTGAATAAAATGTTTTTGAATAAAATGTTAAATTGATCAGATACACAAGATTGCTAATGCTTAATTGTCATCTTCCAACTGCATAAATACTTTACTATACTTCTTTATAAAAATCTATATTTTGACCATGTTTAAACTTTGCTTTGATTGTATAATACAAGTTTAATGAGATTTTCTTTGTAACTCAAAACACAATACAACTTTTCTTTTTCTTCTTTAATTTGTTTCCTCAAAAACATTTTTATTTTCTCCTAGGCCCAGATGAAATTAAATTCAAAGGAATCCAGAAAATTGAAAATTTTGGAATTCTTTTTAATTTTAAATAATAGAATAGAATTTAAAGGAATTCTTTCTTCTATAATCTGTTTTATCTTCTTGAGATATGTTGTCGATAATCCTAAGATTAGGAGTGAATACATATGTGATTAAGCTGCCAAAAGGCCCTAAAATGAGATGGAAAAAAGCTAAGAGAAACACTTTATAAATTGTTAATTTCTTAAACTATGGATAAATTAAACTTAAATGGACTGTAAGCGTAATTTGCAGTGACCTTCCTTGCAAAGATAGCAGTGCCCGATTCACAACCGCACTCTTCAAACTTTATCTGATTAATAATGTGGAAGATAGTGTCGTTTTTCTGGTTCGAAAAATATTCTGAAATCTAATAATTCCTATCTGTTTTTTTGAAGTAGAAATGCGCAAGTCACATATTGCATACTTGATCAGACAAAGCTTTTCAGGGTAACATTGTCAATCGGACATTGACATCTTTGCATGGAGGGTCATTTAAAATTACGCTTACAATCCCTTTTTATTTCCAAAGAAAATTAATTATTTGCTTATTTTGATAAATCTAATGGATCAATACTCCTTTGAAACAGAAGAACTGTTTACTCGCTTCAAAATCTAATCTATGTTTAAACAATCAGATAGTGTAAACTTGAAAATATATAGATTTATTATTAAATTACAATTTGAGGCAAGTAATCAGTTCCTTTGACATCCAACTTTTGATTTTACAAAAGGCATTGGTTTCATTCAGTTCTGATGAGAATTCCATTTAATCATTGTTTTTTTTCTTCTCTTGTTCTTCATTAGTATTCTCCCTCGGTTCTATTTATTTTCATTAACTATTCATTAAATAATAAAAATATACCAAACCACCATCATCTAAATATGCAGAATTTGAAAATAAAAAAATAATTTAGAGTAAAAACAAAATCCAGTGCTAAAAAATATTGTATGAATAATTGTACAATGAATAATATTCACAATAAAAAATACAAATGTAAATTGTCCAACATGGCAAAAAAAGGTTTTACTCTCGATATATTTTATATCCTTTTCAGTCCTTAAAGAATGGTGGTGTTGTCAAAACTGAAAAAAATACAAAGTTTTATAAAAGAAATGAAAATAATGTTCACGAAATTATGTAGTTTTATTATTTTCAGCAATTTTTAATTTGTCTGAACAGTGAAATGTTAAAAAAAACCTTTTATCTGATGATATCTATTTAACAATCTCTGTTTGTTAGTGTCCTATCATAACTCCTAAATCCCTGGACCGATTTGCCTCTTATTTTGATTATAGAACTCGGTAGAACCATGGAAATGTTTTTAGCCAGGTAAAACAACTCTAGATTGATTGGATTCATTTTTACATCGAAAACTGCAGGCAAAGCTGGGTTTCGCAGCTACCTCCAAAAACCAGCCTCACTCCCCTCTCATTACATTTTTTAAAGGTTCAGGTAAACGGATGAAAAACGACTGAGATACATCACACATGGAATAAACCCGGAGAGAGAACTCTGAGCTCTGTTCCCATAATACTCTATCCTCGCACCTCCAGAACCTTCTCTAACCTCTCACACACGACATTCTCTCCTTATAAAGTCTCATACACGACATACTCACCCTCTAACCTCTCGTACAAGACATTCTCACCTTCTATCCTCTCGTACACGACATTCTCACCTTATAACGTCTCATACACGACATACTCACATTCTAACCTCTCATACACGAAATTATCACCTAACATCTCATACACGACATACTCACACTCTAACCTATCGTACACGACATTCTCACCTTCTATCCTCTCGTACACAACATTCTCACCGTATAACGTCTCATACACGACATACTCACATTCTAACCTCTCATACACAAAATTATCATCTAACATCTCATACACGACATTATCACCTTCTAACATCCCATACACGACATTCTCACCTTCTAACCTCTCGTACAAGACATTCTCACCATCTAACCTCTCGTGCACGACATTCTCACCTTATAACCTCTCATACACAACATACTTACCTTCTAACCTCTCATACATGACATTCTCAACTTCTAACCTCTCGTACACGACATTCTCACCTTCTAACCTCTCATAAACAACATGTAGTAAATGCCGTACTCTTAAAAGTTCGTCCTCCAAACTGTATTTTCTCTGGTTTTTCTGAAGAATTGGTAACAAGAAATTCCCTAGAATTGGTTACAAGAATTTCCTCGGAATGGGTTACAAGAAATTCCTCGGACCTGTTTCCCCGTACTCTTAAAAGTTCGTCCTCCAAACTGTATCAGTCCAGACACAACCCGTCCGCTATCCAAGTCAACCAGTACACAGCCCACCTGGCTCTAAATGCCACACAGGGACACAAGCGTAGCTATTTAATCTCGCTATTACTCGAAGGCTCTAAATGCCACATTTAGAGAATACGACATTCTCACATTCAACCTTTCAGAGCTCAAAGCATGCTCAACATCTAACCTCTCAGAAAATACAACATTTTCACATTAAATCTATCAGAGCTCATGACATTCTCACCTTCTCTCAGGGAAAGCGACATTCTCACCTTCAACTTCTCGGAAAATATGACATTCAATATGCTCTCAGATTACTACTTTATTTATGTAGATTCTATGATCAATATTTTTCTTCTTTTCATGAAATTACAAATAAATAAATATATATAATCAAAATTATTTTATTTGAATTTGATGATTCTTTATGAGGGTTGCTTGCTAAGCATAAAATCAATGTTATCAACTTAATATTCTTTTATTCAAGTTTCATCAATATATTAAGAATTTTCTTAAAAGAAAATTGACGCCACAAGTTTGTACAATTCTGAGTTGGCAGCAAGATATTGTTACACAATGGAGCACTATTGTTTCCATGAACAATACAAACCAAACAGTGAAGATCTAGTTTATATATTTCGTTCTTCTAGAGAAGATAATAATGCGTGCACTTCTAATCTTATCCTGCGTCCTGGTTAGCGTTCCTGTAATATACTCACAGTGTCAAGATGGCAAATTGACGGATATCAAAGGACGCAGTTTCACAGTGGTTTCTAAGACACCCACGAACCCAGATTGTATCCAGGTACAAGACTGATGCCAAACATTTTTAAGAGATTGGTTGTAAAAAATCTGTTTGATTCGCAACGATAGTCGTTAAACTCAATTACCTGTTTTACTTTTAACCCCACCATGGAAGTAACACCACACCCCTTTTTCGTCCGGACCGTAAATTACATTCAAAGTCTTCTTTTTTCATCTTTTTAAAATCTGGTCTTGGCGAAATAATGGTGATCTCAATGCATGTCGAGAAGCTTAGTTTGTGACATAATTTGCAGCACGGATAAAACAAGGAATAATCTGAGTGAAACCATGATGTTTCAGGACACCCAAATGCTACAAGATAACAACAACATGATGTGGTGTTTGGCTAAAGAACCCAATCCCAATATGGCTGTCAGTGCTCAATGCGGGGGACCAGATGAACCTTTCAATAGTGGTGGACCTTTCACCCGATCTGGAGTAAACACAAAAAGTAATTTTCAATATTTTTTGTGTAACATAAAAATATGAATAAGCGACAAAGTAAAGTTCTAGAAAGAAAAGACGATTAATCGTAATGGGAATTTGAAGAGAGAAATAGTTTTTGCCTTGTTTTTTTTTATTTTTCTAGTTTATTTGATAATAAATATTCTTGTAACTACTTTACACAAAAGTTAAAACTTCCCGAAAAAGTTGTTGTACACAATTATATCGTCTATTGGGATAAAAAATTTTCACGAAAACCTCGCAGAGCGGGTGGTTATTTTACATAACTGTCCCAAGGGACGTTAAGTAACTTAATATAAAATAACAAGGTGATAAAGATATTTTTTCGCACTGTTATAGGGCGATAAAGTCACTTAATCACCCTACAGCCTCTATAGATCATAGCAGAAGTATTTTTAGGATAGAATAATAAAGGAATTGCGTTTTTGCCACAACCTCAAATTTTCTAATTGTTATATCTCTGCAACCAGTGGGAATAAACCTTTGATATTTCAAACTTAGATTATTTGAATTAACAGAACTAATAGTTTGAAATATCTAAGGTCTACGTCATTGGGTTGCCAAGATATAGGGATAAGTTTGTGGCAAAAACTCAGTTCCTTTAATTTAAAAATATTGATTTTCAATTTTACTAAAAACGTATATTTTTAGTTGTGCCTGGGGTAGGACAAGTTGCACAGGTAATATACTAGTTTTGATCCAATTAGTGGGTTTCAAAGAAACTATCAAAATTAGAGTGACACATGAAGAAGTGAAAATATCAAAAGGTGCATACTGCATAGGTTCTCTAGGTGATGTTACCTTTAGTATTGAAATGTAAAAACATTTTTACTCCAACTTGAAGAACTTTGGTGGAAGTAGTTTCAGGGGAAAATCTCGAATTTTGTTAAAGATAGAGGGGGGGGGGGGCAATTCGACACCAAATATTGTATATAGGCTGCATAATTGCATTTGGTTCTAGATATAGAGATAAAAGGCTAAAATTTAGCATGCAATCTCGTATCATGGCCCTCTCTACACAGATCACAAAGAAAATTTGGAATCTGAGGTCACTAACCTCAATCAAAAATCAAGGTTTTGCCGATAAACCAAAAACGACTTGGATCGACCTGATGCAATGCTCATAAAAAGCTAATATTGGGTCACATCACCCAAATAATTGCACCCAGAATTCTTTTTAAAACCCCCTTGATGTGTCACCTTTATTAACATATCTTGAAGTGACACTCTGGTCTACTTTAATCAAACTAAAAGATGCAAAATAGATGCAAAAAACATTATTTTTCACTTTTTTAAATTCAGGGCCCGGATGCCATTGCTGTAGTGTCTCAACAGGTTGGAGACGATTATTTCTTTGGGAAAAAATGAAGAAATAAATATGATGGAATGTTATACATTTTTTCAAATAAATATGTTAAAATGTTTTACGAAATTTTCCTTTGCGTAGTATTAGGGTTGTTTTTGTTACATTATATTCTTAGACTATTCTCAACATAAATATGTTAAAATGTTTTACATTTGTTCCGAATAAATATGTTGAAATGTTATACATTTTTCCGAATAAATACAGAATTCCTAGAATACAATTTCAAGTGGAACCAACCATGTTTGAGCCGCGACTCATTCTGCCTCTGAATTTAAAGAATGAGTCGCGGCTCAAACATGGTTGGTTCCACTTGAAATTGTATTCAGTGTTTCGAGATTTTTGGCGATTTGAATAATTTGAATTCGGCCTGAGGTTTTGGTATTGTTAATTTTATTTAAAACGATATTCTTTAAAGTTTTTTTTAATTAAGGATGAAAAAAATGTATAATTTTTCTGTGGCTTAAAATTTAGTATTTTCAATTCCAGAATTTTTTAGAAGCTCGTCAATTTTTGTTTACTTGTGGAACATTTAAAAATTGATTTCGATTTTTGAATGACATTTTTAAAAATGTTGACGATGACGGGACAATTATATAAAATTAATCCGGAATAATCGGCCCGTGTCCGAATTTAATGAATTTAAGCCGAGACTAAAATCCCCAAAAACCGGTAAATGCTGGTTGATTCTGTATACGCGCACCTCTGCACCTTCAGTAAAAGTAAATTCAACCTATATGAAGCATAAAGTCTGACAGTGTCAACCTTCTTGCACCGGCTAGTCCTGTCCATAGTGCTAGGTGCAGTACAAACTGGGACTGGAAAGGTTGACCCGGCTCGGAAATTCAAATGTAATATGGCTGCCCGTGCATAGGCTTTCATACAACAAGATTCCGCAGTTTTATAGGTCCCATGCTGTATGAAAACAATTCGCCAATGTATGTTCTAGGTTTCAAAATTAAAATAGAAAAATTAGAAATATATAAAGCTGTTTATTTCAAAAATATCCAATGGGGCGGGGGTAATTCTTATAAATATACTTAGTGATCAAAAGGCATGCTCTCACGTATACAAAAATCTATGAGAATTTTGCCAATTACTCCTGAAAAACTCAAGTTAAAATCAAGTATATTTTAGTTCTAAATATAAATGATTAGAGCTGCAAAAAGGTATAAATAAGTTGTTGAGGTACGAGAGGTAAGATTAAATATCAAGGCGGTGCGACACTTTAAAGTCAATCCAGTCTTGAAGTTGGATACGACTTGACATAGCATTCTGGATCTATATGGGTTAAAGGGAGTGACCGGCTATGTAAGGTAGTTGAACTGAGTATGCAGTGTTGTGGAAAACTTCTTTCGGATTCATTTGAGACATATTAAACTTTTTAAAGATCTGTAAATCCTGTGCTTGAGCGCAAATTCGACGTTCAAAACTCCTACTTTGGGGGTGGATACGTTTTCAGAATCGGTTTTTTTAATTACTAAATAACGATGACGAAAAATAAAGTAAAAAACACAAGTAATCTAATTAGATGGTTGGGAACATATTTCTCAAAAGAAATTTGTCAATAAATCAATGCTAGAATCAATTATTTCGTTTTTATTATTATATTGAATTTCTTATCTTCTTTGAATTTATTCGCAGATTTCTTTAAATTCTTCAAATGTCGTCTTTTCAATAATAGTTCTAGAAAATCTGCATAAAACCACACAGAAAATGAGGAACCATTTTCAAGACTAAAATTAAATTTAAAATAAACATATTATATTTATTTTAAATATAACAGTTAATTTTTATTTTTTCAACCTGTTCCGATACATGACGTCTGTACTTTATTGAAGGACTTTTCACATTTTATGTCGTCGTTATTTAATAATTAAAAAAAAACTAATTCTGAAAACGTATCCACCCCCAAAGTAGGAGTTTAGAACGTCGAATTTGCGCTCAAACTCAGGATTTACAGATCTTTAAAAAGTTTAGTATGTCTCAAATGAATCCGAAAGAAGTTTTCCACAACACTGCATACCCAGTTCAACTACCTTACATAGCCGGTCACTCCCTTTCAATAAATAAGCAAACCTTCTAAACAAACGCGTCACCATACCTTCAGTTTTCTCAATTCTATACGTTATAATCGGCATTTTTCTAAATTTAAGAAAGTAAATACTAAAGTGAAGTACGGTAAAGTTAATATATCCACTTTAATGTTATCCATTTTATTTATCATATTTCTCTCAAATTGATTGTTAAAGAAAATTTTATTAATCTTTATTTTGTTTATTTCAAATCAGTCCAACTATAAATATTTTTTTTCTTTTATAAACAGAAATATGTTTCTCATACTATGATATTCAAAATATAAAAAAAAACTAAAATTGAAATGCGTAATTCATGATAGTTTTAATATAAATGTAATATGTAATCAATGGTTATTTTTTTGTAATATTGCTAAAATTTTTCGATCTATTCGTATTCTGAATAAACATTTAAATCTTGAACTATAAATATTTAATATCATGTTTTTATATTTCTATAATGCTACAGCATAGTAAATGCCCATGAAGCAACATTGGTTTGGCTTTATTACAGTGATAGCCAGAAAACAATGGAATAGGAAAGACCTCATAATAGCAATTTGATGTTGATACAAAGCAAATAGTTTTACTAGACTCTTATTAAATCACTAATTTAAATAATGGTTCTTTTAAGTGTTTACACTGCACAATTGCTGTGTCTCATGGCTCAAGCTTATTGGAATTTTTATAATTAAAACTTTATTTTAAAGGTCGTCTTCCCTTTTCAAAGTCTTCTGGTTATGACTGTAAATAGTGTACACTTTAATGTTTATCAAGAATGTACAAAAGTTTTCTTCGAAGATTTTCTTGCCAACTCCAGTCCAGACTTTTTAAAGTGAAGATCTCTTTTAGATTTCATCGTAGCTATGGCCGCAGAAAATGAATCAAGGGCATCAACTTTTACATCGTCTAAGCTCAACTAAAACATATTTTTTATTGTTAAATGTAAAATTTAGAGAAGTTATCTCTTTATTTAAAAAGTGACATACACGATTCCCAACAGACTTTTTAATAACCTAGATATATTTAAAATGTTGGAGCAGTTATTGCCGTTATTTCTTTAAGCTGAATTTGGATAAAATGAGAAAACTTGAGAATCCATTCTGTAGAGATTTTTTTCTAATATTTTGTTTTCTTTGGTAACATTTCCCAGATTTTTTATTGTAAAACCTTAAAGACCAAATCCTAAAAAAATGTAAAAGGAATAAAACTATATCTAGAAATATCCATTTATAGAGATAGATGTCCATTGTGAATTGCTGACCTTGAAATAGTTTCCCTGACCCAATAATTTTCTTGGAGAGGTTGGATGAAAAAAGATCTAACTCGTTTTGGCAATTTCTTTTATAATTTACGTGCTTTAGGTTAGACGAAAAAATATTTTTTACCTGCGCATGCGCAGATTTCCTAGATTTAACTGCTAAAAGATATTCAGCTGTTTCCAGCTGCTCCCGACCAGGTTTTCTAAAATAAATTGGATTCAACTGTTATTTTCTTCTGTGTAGGTAGGTAGGTAATTGAATATACGTGTTTACTTTAAGAATTGAAGTAAAAATAGTTTCAGAATAAAATGGAAAAGAAAATCCTTACAATTGTACATTGCAACTTTTACAATTTAAAAAACTTCAAAGAGAGAATGATATCTATATAATCATGCGAAAAACATAGAAGAAGGTTTTTGGTCAAACAATGACTTTTAAAACTTTTTGTATTGTCTACTTTGGGGACATTTTTTTAAGAACTGTATTTTAAATGAATAATTGGGAATAACTTACAAAATTTAAGATTTTACAATAATAATAATAATAATAATAATAATAATAATAATAATAATAATAATAATAATAATAATAATAATAATAATAATAATAATAATAATAATAATAATAATAATAATAATAATAATAATAATAATAATAATAATTATAATAATAATAAGAAGAAGAACAGACAACACTAACACTTGATCCGCCTGCTGTTACCTGTATAGTTTAAGAAGAAGTGAAGAACAGACGACACTAACACTTGAAAGCGCCATTGCAGCGGAACCCATCCATGGCTGCATCTTTAATCCTACACAGATAGTGTTGTTAATCCTACACAGATTATGTTGTTAATCCTAGACAGATAGTGATGTTAATCCTACAGAGATAGTATTGCTAATCCTACGCAGATATTGTTGTTAATCCTACACAAATAGTGTTGTTAATCCTACACAGATAGTGTTGTTAATCCTACACAGATAGTGTTGTTAATCCTACACAGATAGTGTTGTTAATCCTACACAGATAGTGTTGTTAATCCTACACAGATAGTGTTGTTAATCCTACACAGATAGTGTTGTTAATCCTACACAGATAGTGTTGTTAATCCTACACAGATAGTGTTGTTAATCCTACACAGATAGTGTTGTTAATCCTACACAGATAGCGTGTTAATCTTGCACAGATAGTGTTGTTAATCCTACACAGAAAGTGTTGTTAATCCTGCACATATTGTGTTGTTAATCCTACACAGATAGTGTTGTTAATCCTACACAGATAGTGTTGTTAATCCTGCACATATTGTGTTGTTAATTCTACACAGATAATGTCGTTAATCCTACACAGTGTTGTTTTGGCTTGTGATTTCTAACAGTGTCAACATTTGTCAACGAACCCAAATCCAATTAAAAACGAACCAAAAATTAACAAAAATAAATAAAAAAGCAGTTTAGAATTATCGGTTTTTTAAAAGTTTCTTTTTCTTTTTTTATTTAAAATTTCAAGAGTAAAATTGATTTGAATCTGAAAATCTGTTTACTCACTTGTAATCTCGTAGTGAGTAGTGGATTCGTTTTAGAAATAAAACCAAGATTATCTTTTATTAATCCTTTGAATGACATATTTCATCTTCTGAGATTAATATTTGCTTAGTACATCAGTAAATAATAGTTTTACAGCCCCGAGAACCTTTTCCTTTTATCAAATAAATGGAAAATATAATTTTCCTAATTCTATTATTTTCCCCTCGGGAGAACCGTAGAAATAAGAAAAGAAAAACAGAAGAAAGTTTTCTAAATTGAATTATATTAGAGACTCTTTTATTTAATTTCTAATGTTATAAAGAAGAGATGCACCAACTGATTTGAAATCAATTATAATTCTTTAAAAAGTTTTCACTGGATTCGGACTCGATAAGAAAATTATTAAGATTACGTCTGAATTCTTAAAGGGAATGTAAACGGAATTTTGATAGACCGCCCAGTGTCCATTTACCAATTCACAATGGTACGCTTCAAATATCCACCTTTTTCTTTTTGAATTTATTTTCAATCGTGTTTTCTCGCTGTAGAAACAAGGATATCAGTAAGGACATATATCTATCAGATACAGGTTGACAAGGGTACTGTTGTGAATCTGATATTTGAACTGAGCCGGCGATTTATAAAATTCAAGAAAATGCGACTTAGGTCTAAGCTGTCGTTGGGCCTTATTTACGGCTTGAGCTTTCGGTTTAAAGCTGCATCTTTTTTTCCATCGAGTTGAGTTCAAAAACCCGGTGTAATATTCTGTTTGGTGGATTTTCATGGTAGGAATTGGCGCATTCCGGGTTTTTCTGAGAACAAGACTCAATCAATATTGAGCCTTATTCTCCACTAAAACCAACCAAGGTCGGTTTCATTTTCATTGGGCCTAACTCCTTAATTCTAGCCGAAGATCCTGCAGCTGTCAACCACGTGACACAAGCTGTCGTCAGAGTTCTGTTTAAAATTTGGCTTTAAAGTCGGGTTTAAGGAATTACGGCTCGAGACGAAGTTTTTAAATCGCGGGCTCTTGAGAGTTACTATAAACAACAAGGACAGTTCCTTTAAATTAAATTTCTTAAAAGACACTTTTGTAAATTAATGATTGCAGTCAGTGATTAACTCAATTTACGATTACAATCCCTTTAATGTACGGTTACAATCCATTTAATTTACAGAGATTTTTCAAAGACTGGCTTGAAACCAAGCTAAAAACATTCCCGTGGTTCTACTGAGTTCCTCAGTCAAAATTTGAGACAAATGGGTTAAGGGGTTCCTGAGTTATGATCAGACATTTAAACAAAGACACAGAGATTACTACTTTATATAAATATATAGATAAAAAATGTAAAAACTGTACCAATTGGTGAGAATACTCCAGCAGCTATTGGTATCCCAACCAGATTGTAAACAATAGCAAACACAAAGTTTAACCAGATTCTGCAGTACAGTACAATTCATGATATTACAGTCAGAGTTCCTAATAAACTTTGGAATAGGAAGATGACTTAATACTCAATTCAAATCATCATTTTGAATCGCCCAATAAACAGAGAGGCCCATCTCACCTAATAATTTGAGTTTCAAGCTTCATGCCAAAACTAATATCTTAAAACGTCCTTCTATTCCACAACTATATGGGCCCCACTGTATCATTTTTTTTAAATAGAGATAAGCCGCCCTAACTTATCTTTTGATTTATAATTGTATTTTAAAAGTTTAAAAAGAAAATCAAAAGTGTGTCCATTGGATACTCAGATTAAGTAATCGGGATTAAGTATATCTCATTCTAAAGTTTTCAGCTTTCATTATATTGTTAAGAAGAAAAACAATGTTGTATTAAAAGAATTTGACTGGTTTCCTGTGAACTGTTTTCTTTGATAGATCAAGACAAGCCACCACATCTGTACAAACAATTCTTATTAAAATAGATCAAGACAAGCCACCACATCTGCACAAACACAATTCTTATTAAAATAGATCAAGACATGCCACCACATCTGCACAAACAATTCTTATTAAAATAGATCAAGACAAGCCACCACATCTGCACAAACACAATTCTTATTAAAATAGATAAAGACATGCCACCACATCTGTACAAACAATTCTTATTAAAATCCTAATTATCATTTTATACAGTGTGACCAACTAAACATTTCAACTTTTTCTATTATTCTTTAAGATTCAAATGACTTCAAAGTATTTTTGGTTTGTAATACTTTTTAGCTGTAGTTAAAGGGGCTGTGTAAATATCCATGTTTTTGTTTGGAAACAGCTCAAATTTTTTTTTGGTTTCTTTGCAAAAGTAACTTGCATTTCTTGCTTTAGAAACTATGGAGAAATTAACAGAATTAAACACATTTTAATCAAAGAAAACGCCGTTATCGTCAACTTGATTGATTAGAATAAGGTACCCTTGTGAATCTGACATGTCCCTCTTTTAAAACGGAGAGCAATGAATTTCTAAAAAAAACTTACCGAGAAGGTCATTTCTTATGAGAACAACATCCGCCGCCTGGAAAATAAAAAATTTCAGAACAAATAATTTATCAGTAATTATATATTTTCTGCTTCAGAAACTTTGGAATTGAGTCTTTGTAACAAACTCTGATTTTCTAATTCCTATATCTTTGCAGTCCAATGTTATAGACATTTGACATTTCAAACTATGACTTCTGTTAGATCAAATAATATAAGTTTGAAATATCGAAGGTTTACGACATAAGGTTCAAAAGATATAGGGGTTAGAAAATTAGAATTTGTGGCAAAGAGTCAATTCCTTTGTCAATTCCTGCAAATACTTTTTTTATATGAAAGTCCTAATTATTTTTTTAACTCTCCTCTGTAAAATAACCTAAAAACTTGATTTTCAGCCTTAAATAAAATAATTTTTGAAACATCAAAAACGTGACTTTATAAGTAAAGAGGTTCGAGATATTATTATCTACATATTTTGAAAAAGGAATTGAGTTTTTGCAGCAAACTCAGATTTTCTAACCCTTATATCCTTGCAACTTATGTCGTTATAGACCTTATATATTTTAAACTATGAATTCTGTAAGATCAATTAACCTAAGTTTGAAATATCACAGGTTTACACCATCAGGATTTAAAGTTATAGGAATTGGAAAATTTGAGTTTGTGACAAAAACTCAATTCCTTTAGATAAACGACCTCGCCTGATCCACGTTTGTTTTAATTCGTTAATTACTGAGTGTTTTTTATTCTTTCATAAATACTGCCTCTAATTTTCCTCTTTATAATTTTTTGCTGGTGCAAAAAGAATTTTACGTTTTAGATAAAATAGTTTCACCGTTTGTAATTACCACAAACCTACCTCAACAGCAACATCAGTACCACTACCAATTGCAATCCCAATATCAGCTTGAGCAAGAGCAGGAGAATCATTTACACCATCTCCAACCATTGCAACCTAGGCGAGATTTTGTATACAGCTCACAAGCAATAATGATCATTGAATTGGAAGTTTTTTCTGTGTTAAATGTTAACTTATACCCCTTTGAAGTTTAATGGATATGCAAATTTATGGCCCAGAGAAACTTACCTTATGGCCCCCTGCTTGAAGTTTACGGATTTTTGCAACTTTATGGCTGGGAAGAACTTCAGCGTATACTCTAAATATAAAACTTTAATCTAATCAGTACTCTTTAAACATTTGTCTGCTCAAGAATGTCGGACTTAATCTTCAGAAACACTTCACCCAAATTAACCTTCATGTGCTTACTGTCTCCAGTACACTATACCGAAGATATGGTATGGGTTTAGCGGCTTGAAATTAACCTTCATGTGCTTACTGTCTCCAGTACACTATACCGAAGATATGGGTTTAGCGGCTTGAAATTGTTGGAAAGTTTGTTTGTAAAATGTTTTATATTTAAGGAACATTATTATGTACTTTTAAGAAAATAAAGGAGAGGAGTAAATTAGGATATTTCCCTTACTTAACTTACTTTGATATTCCAGCTTGCTCTGCTATTGCTCTGGCAGTGTGTTTGTTATCTCCTGAAAAAAATAGAATCATAAAATTGTATTCCAGAAATCAAAAATTATTTTTCATATTTTCCATGAATTCTTTAATAAAATTTATTTCTTGAAAACAAAAAGTCGAAAAAAATAATAACACGAATACTTGTAAAAAGAAAAGAAACAATGCCAGAATCAATTTTGATTTATGAAGATTCCCTCCACAACCCTGGATAGGGGTAACCAATGTATTTAATTAGTATAGAAATTCTTGCAATATTTGTCTTCATGCAAACAGTGTTCCTTTTCAAAATGCCATTTTGCATTGTGTCTCGGAGAAAAACAAAAAAAAATCCGAAATTAATTTTAAAATTGACTTGGCTTGGAAATTTTTTTCTCATACTTCTACTTTTAGGCCTTTTTAACAGAGCTGTTGGAGAAGAGAGGGGGGGGGGGGG